TAAGCCTCACTCGGAATTGCAGCAAATATTTGCCGATTTGAGTTCACCCTCACAGCAGTCGAGTCTTTCAACCAGTGGTACACCGATTGGGAGTCCATTGAAGGCCGACGAGACACATAAATGCAATGTTAATCCTTTGAAAGGGTTGTCCGCTATTAATGAGTGCACCGATTGCTACGACTCTGCGCCCAAACCGCGAAACTTTCCCATCGATGCCATCAATAACAGCAACGATACTAATCACTCGTTGTCCGACATTATATACCCCAACCAGTGCTCTGTTATCACCGACACCTCCATCGAGACTATCAAAAACAGTTGCATTGAGAGCTTCGGCTGTTTTTCGACCAAAACTACAAACAATAATAGCGTTCATAATAATCATAATGAAGAGAGTGATCACAAAGAGATCGTAAAACTTCAGAAGATATCAAACACTGTGTATCAAAAGGTGATTGAACTGGAGTTCGCGGCCATACCTTTCAAGGAGATGGCGGCTGAGGACATGAACCGCTTCGAGAGCTTAAGGATCGCCGAGTTGGCCGCCGCTGTGGCCGACCTGAACCGGCGCTCGTACGGCATGTCCAACGAGGGTCTGAAGATCACCCGCGAGCTGTCCAACTTCATTGACATGACCAAAGTGTTGGCCGTCAAGTGCGACGACGCCATCCGGCGACTCGTCGTGATGTCCAAAAAGATCGCCTCATTCAAGGAGTTGTGTCAACCCGACCAGATCGGCCTCATGAAGGCCGGCTGCTTCGAGATACTGATCATGCGATCCATTAACACCTATAACCAGGAGCACGACTACTGGTCGGTCGCCATGGTTTGTCACCTATTTTGTTAATATAAGAAATGTGCTAATATTTGCAAATTAATTATGATTGTACAGTGCTGTGTACAATTGGTATTATGATATTTAGTAAATATTAATTGAATGCCTCAAATGCCTAATACTAGGACCAGAATAACGCGACGATGGTTAAAGTGGAGCTGTTTAAGCAAACCAAAGGCAATCTATACGAAGCCCACAAGAATTGGATGCACGCCTTCGCCGAGGAGTGGGATTCCGACCAAACGATCCTTAATTTGGTATTTAATTTGAATTTTTAATTTTAAAACAAATTTATTTTATCACTTTTGTTTATGTCTTTCATTTAGTAAACTATATTATCAATCTATTTTAGTAACAAAATTATCTTTGTATTTATGTCTATTAGTTGACGGCTATTGTACTGTTCACACCGGAGCGACCAAACATAATGCACAGGGAGTTAATCAAGTAAACATTTGTTGTAACTTATATGTCTTGATTAATATGATTTAAATTTGTATTTATGTCTATTAGTTGACGGCTATTGTACTGTTCACACCGGAGCGACCAAACATAATGCACAGGGAGTTAATCAAGTAAACATTTGTTGTAACTTATATGTCTTGATTAATATGATTTAATAATAACAAATAATAATTAATCATACCGTATTTGCCAATAGACTGGAACAGCAAACATACATGTATTTACTTCAACGCTATTTATTTGCAAAATATAAGTCCAAATGTGTGGCAAAACTCAAATTCTTGAGACTTATGAACAATTTGGAGGAATTGCATACATTGAATGAGAAACACGTGAAAATCTACCTGGAGGTGGACCCCCAGGATGTCGGCCCACTGCTCATCGAGATCCTGGACCTCCACCCGTACAATACAATTCAATTACTATAATTCATAATCAAGTCTATCATAAAAAGCAATTTCATAAAAGTGTTCATAACTTAGAGATTATCTTAAATACAATTCCGACACAAACTGTGAAATTATATCAATTTGTATTAATCCGGTTGACTATAAAGTGTATAAATACTGTTACGTTATAATCGTTTGAATTGTTAACTGTTATAATAATTTGCTCATTCATAAGATGTTTTTTAGTCAGACATTAAGCCAAAAATTATTTTTAATGACAAAAAGTATTTTTGATAATAAAAGACACATTTATCAGAGATTTATAAATATATGACACCCACTTACAAATAAAATATTGTACAAAATATTCATTCACCAAAATCTATTTTTATTAAAATAAATATTTGTTATTAAAAATCCCCATGTTTATGTTGGAAAATTCTTGATCACCAAACAGTTTATTTTCAATACATTATAATAATAATAGTGACACTACTTTACAGTATTTTTCGAATACACTGTACTATTATTACATAACACAGTATATGTATAAAAAGTTATAAATTCATGAAATGTTTGAATATTTTTTGAGACACTCATTAGGAGCTCTCATAAAAGTTTTTAAGAGAGTTTTTATAACTTCATGGAGAATATAAAAAAGTTTACAAAACAGTCCCAAAACTATTTATAGCACTCGTGTGTACGGTATTCACTGTAATTCAGAAAAATGCTTAATTTAAGCGAAGATATGCACAAAACGAGTGAATATTAGGATATTAGGCAAAAGAGACACATAGTTTTGGCTCTCAAACTATTTTTTAGATAAACTTTTTTCTCTTAGCTCTCTCTCTCTCTCTCTCTCTCTCTCTCTCCACTTTCTTATTCACTCTTTTATTCTGACAGTTAGTTATAAATCATTTTTAGAGAGACGAGAGATGTGTTTCCGTCTTTAGTAACACATTATTGGCTTAATTTACTTACTCTTCGTTTGCATTTTGGATAAAATAGTTGTCGACGAAGTCGACGATCCGTCGGCAGTACTAATGTATACATAAATACATGTATTTCCCCATTGAAGAGATGTTCAAACAGTAAGAATTTGGAGGAATTCACCAAAAAAATTGTGTAAATTTTGAGCAAAATGTCGTCAAAAGTAATTTGTTTTTCACTTTGGTTTTTGTGATTAAATGAATTAATTAGTTAATCTATTTTGATGTGTATATAAAATACAGACAACAAAGTTATACATCGGAAATCTGCCCGTGGATTGCAAAGCCGATCAGTTATGCCAACTGTTCACCAAATACGGACGGGTAGTCGAGTGCGATATTGTCAAGAATTATGGTTTCGTCGTGAGTGTCGCGAATATAGTGTATATTTTTAACATTCATAACTGAGTTATGAATAAATGGTTTTTGTTTTGTTACAAACCATTGACAGCACATGTCGTCGGAGGACGAGACAAAGAATGTCGTACAGGAGCTCAATGGCACCCAATTCATGGGCAATAAACTGTCCGTTGAAGTCAGTCGTAGCAAAGTCAGACCTAAGCCAGGTATTCATTGCTTGTATTCGCAGTTATTAATCAAATTTTTTCATAATTGTACCTGTATATAATTTTTATACATATTTAAATCTACATAAAAGCTATATATTCTGTAATTAATTAATTTTTAAAAATTAATTATATGGTAATTGCAAACATATATTTCACATCAAATACAAGGAATGGGAGGCAAAAGTCAGTGCTACCGGTGCGGCAAAAGTGGGCACTGGTCTAAAGAATGCCCGCGAAGTATGGGTGAACGCGCGCGCACCCCATACACCCCATACCGGCACCAGAATCGCCACTTCCCTTATGGCTATAGTCGCGGTCCGCCGTTTCACGAGTCGTGTTCGCGTCCGCCTCCCGACCCTCGCGACCGATACGACGGGTTAGACTATTTTAGGGACTATTATGACGCGTACGAGCGCCGACCGCCGCCGCCTCCTCCGCCTCCCTTTCCCGGCGACCCCTTTGACGACAGAGCGCCGCCTGAGTATTGTCGACGAGTACTACCGGAGCCTTATTATGACGATTATTATGACTGTAGGATTCGGGACAGGTATTCAAATATATCGCACGGATTTCATTAGTAGTAGAGATATGCAAATAATAGTCAATTAGTTTAACACTTGAATTAATTTATTCGTGATATATATATGGAAAACCCACGATAATTATAGCACCGGTATCATCGATTGCATATCTCTTAATCACATGAATATTCATTAGTTTTAGTGCACAAGTTCTGTATGAATACAAATTAAAGTTTTAAATGCTTTTGACATTTAGATTTGATGCCTATCCTAATGATCGAGCATACCCTCCGTGAGTATTAATAGAACTATTAATAGCACTACTAATAGATTATAAATTATTGATATCCCGTAATCCGTGAGATTAATAGTGAAAAACTTTTTTCATACCTCAAAGTTATTGCACACATACTGTCAGACGTCCGGATCATATGTATAGATAGGTTTGACGCGAGTTATAACACGAAGCGGAGAAATGAGGCATAATTTTGTGCCAAAAGATTGTATTTATATTTATGTGTCAAAAATAATTCGTTTAAAACATTCAAAACTAAATTCTAGTGAAACGAACCAAATGTCACTTTTTAGCACATTTTTAACGCAAAACTGTATTTCAATCCTCAAACCTGTCATAAGTTGTCAAAAGTTTTCCTTAAATGCTATGAGTTGTTAAATCCTGTATTCATTACTAATTATTATAAATCAATAAATTTTATATCATTTTTATTAATTATTAATTCTTTTGATTCTTTATTATTATTCATTCAAATGCTTTCTATATTTACATTAGATTATCGAAAAACTCAATTGTAAAATAATTAATGACTTAAATATATCATAACTTATATTTAAAAATACACATAATTAACATTTATATTAAATTATGATCTGTTGTCAAAATATAATAATTAGTCTAAAAAATGTTGTGACACTTAATGGTGTGTTGGCCTTAAGAGGGGTTAACAAAACAAACAATTGTATTGAGCTTTTAAACAGTGCTTGGTACATTTGATAACAGTAATTGGATGGAATGGTATGTATGGTATGGTATGTTAATTATTATCAATAATCAATAACTAATACTTTCATTTGATTTGTATAATTCTGATATAAAAATATAAACTTTTTAGTAAATTGTGATTAATATCTCAATTAATAATTCCTTTCTTATCAGTCAATTACTGAGCGATTGCTTTGGTTTTAAGTGTAATTTTTGTGTGTTTCATAGTAGCATGGTGAAATTGCCTGGACGGCTTATGTGTGTTATATAATTATATTAATTGTAATTCTTATACAAAAGTTGCGTGATAAATATATATGGAAATATTATTTACAATTTAATTGTAATACAAAATAACTACAAAAACAACAAAACAATTGGCGTTTTGGCGATAAATGCCATCAAATGCGTTGTGCAAAGACTACTCTCAGCGCCGGTATGTCTCCTCACATGGATGTCTCTAACGGCCTACTCTTCTGAGAGCTGGCAATGGATGGGGCAGTGGATGCCGTCGGCGACAGTCTGTTCAGTTGGAAGTCGTCGTAAATATTCTCAGTATAGGAGTCGCCGTCCAGTGATGTCTCCAAATACTTGAGATGACTATCGGTGGAGACGCCGGCAATGGACGAGGGCTGGGACGGCATGAATGTGGACAAGAATTTGGGCCTTTGGGGCACCTCTGGCGCCGGTCGCGTGTATGGCAGGTGTCGCCGGAGGTGTGGCAACGGCGGGGACGGCGACTGTCGGCCGGAGGGCAGCGCTGAGGCCGACGACAGCGACTCTCGCGACTCCACGAGCGGCGTATGACTGGCCAGAGTGTACTGCGAGTAGGGAGTGGTGGGCGCCGTATGTAAGGACTGCTGCGACCGTTTCATATCCAGCGTCGACTCCGTGGTCGGAGTCCAGGCGCGCAACGGCTCCGACGTTCTGGACATGGATGGCGTCGTCTTGAAGCCCCGGTTCTCGTACGTGAGATCAAAGGTCGGGTGGACCAGGATATTGATGTTCTCGTTCTCCAGGCGCGGATCGCTGGCAAAGCGGTCGCCGATATCGGAGTAGTCGTCGGCTCGGGGAAGGCTCGCCTGATAGCTCCGGGTGTCGCCCGTGTAGGACGAGTCGGCCCCGAATTGGGACGGGTTTTTGGTGACGGTATCCATCGATGAGACGCTGCCGTTCATCTTCTGGCTGTACATGGATTGGGTGGTGGAGGGGAGGGGCCGGTGGGGCGGGGGTCGACTAGCCTGGGCGGCCGTCTGGATGACTCTTTCGATTTGCTTGCGATAGCCGTTTGCTTCGCTGTTCAATGTGTTCACTGTATTCATGGATGAGCTAAACGACCGGTTCGAGCGAATGGACGCCCGGATGGAGTTCCGGCGCTCGAGCTTCTCCTTATGCCGGTGTCGGGACTTACAGAGCCAACACGTGATACATATGAGCGTCAAGAGGGCCGTTATGCTGGATATGCTGAGCGCGGCGATGCCCAGCGGCTCCCTGTACCAGAGCTCCGGTATGGCGGCGCCGATATCCGGGTCTCTCTCGCACACAAACGGCAACCGGTCGGTGCAGTCGTGAACTCTGACCCTTCCGTTGATGAGTACAGTGCAGGAGTCGAGGTCGACGTCGAAGGACTGGACCCAAACGCGGTGTAGGCGCCGGTCGTAATTGAATTGCTGAGTGTATATAAAACGGGTCACCTCTTCGTGGTTGACGCGAATGAAAGGCATCGACGAGTTCTCCGCCTCACAGAACTTCTTAGCCTCCGAGAAGGTCATACGGGCGCCGATATACCCGAAACACGTGTCCCCTATCTTATCCCAACCCCCGTAACAGATACCACTCAACAGCGTCCGGTTGTCGGTGTAAAAGGGCTTGTATTCGATGGGAATCAAGTGGTAGTAGTCCTTAAAATCCCTAACCCGGGCGTCCACAGCGCTGGTCTCGTTAAAGCCCCACCAGTTGTTCTTCGCAATGATGGCGGGCCTCCGGAGGTCGTCGATGTTCGTGCGGTTCATCGACGCCAACTCGAAGTCGTTGTCCGGATTCACTAAATAGTTCTCGACGTACACCTGACCGGCGCTGCTGGCGATGATAGTACTGCGCTCCTGGAACTGAGTGGCGATGTTGTTGTAGAACCAGTTCCTACGGCAGGTCTGGTAGGCGAGGGGCACGTGATCGAAGCCATAGATGGTCAGTTGGGTCTGACCCGTGTTCGACACCACCGTATTCTGCGAGAAGTTAGCGATCACTTGCGATAAGACAATGTTTGACCGATATTTGGATCTGTTTCGCGAGAAGTAGTTGCGAGTGATGTCCACCGACTGGTAGGAGCGACCGCTTTTGGCGCCCTCGAAGTACAGCACTTCGTTGTTGTGGTTGTCGACGAACAGGTTGTTGTAGAAGACGCCGGTGACAGAGGACACGGAGGAGTGGGAGTTGGCCTTCACGTGAACGCCGCCCTGATTGGACTCAACCAGATTGTTGTAGAAGTAGAAGTACTGCGAGTTCTGGAGCTCCAGGTACACGGAACCGTTGCATGTGGTGAAGTTGCCGTACAGCTCCAGACAATTACTGTCGATGACGTTGTTGTGCATATGGATGGTAGGGGTCGACTCGCCGGCGCTCCGGTACTGTAGGGCACCCATAATGTTGCGACTCATCTCCGAGTACGTGATGTTGTGGTTAATGCCTCTGCCGATGAAGTACGACACCGGGAGTGTCGCCACTTCGGCGATAAAGCCATAGTCACCGCTGGCACCGGTAGCGTGCAATTGAACGCTGAGCGAGCCCTCAGACGACGAGTAAAACTGAATCTCCGGGTGCTCTTCGCTGTTCAATCGGTTCGGCCTAACGCTGAGGTCTCCGATCAGTGTCGACGTCTGGTTGAAGATATCTCCGTCCCATATGCGTAGGCCGTCCGGTATGGCCGAGAAGTTACTCGAGTTAAACAGATTGAACTGCAATAGTCTGAACCCAATCCTCTTGATGGACGTGTCGCTCGAGAAGATCTTCACGCAATCCACGGGTTTATTGTCGTACTTATAGTACAGGAGCACCCGTTCCTCAATCATTAGTTCTTTGCTTTTGTCGCAGATGTCGACCATTCCGAAGACACTGTACGGCAGACCCGATATGTCCATCGGTTTGTAGGGAATCAATGGCGACTCGGATGACGAGCCACTGAGGAGGACATAGTTCATGGCTGATCCCAAGTTGTCGTGAATATTCATGCGATTGAATGCGAGCTCAGCGGGCGGTGCGATGGCCTCCACCCCATGATAGGCGCAGCTATCGATCTCAACAAAGTTCAGGTTGACGTCCCTCTGGACCATCTGAACGGCGGCGCTCTTCTCCCCGTGCAGAATACCGGCGCCTGTGATCTTCACGTGCTGCAGCACCGACTTGGGCTGGACGGGCATACGGGTGGGGAACTGGTACTGAGTCTTGCGCTCGAAGCCCGATAGGCCGAACCGCACGCCTCCCCAGTGCTCTTCATTCGACAGCTTATTCTCTTCGCCACAGAAGACGTACACAAACTCCTCGCCCTCGTAGGCGCAGCTGTAGGAGTGGTTGCCGTACCCGTTGAGCCGTATATCGCACTCAGACAGCGCCGCCTCTTTGCCCACACACTCCAGGGGCTCCGGCCAGTGACGGATCCTCGAGATGAGTGTCTGTCCCATATCCAGACGGCGACCCCGCTTCAGGTGGACGTTCATTACGGAGTAACCCAATTGTCGGCATATGACCTGAGCGTTGCGTTCGGTGAACCTCTGGTCGCAAATGGGCGCCCACTGGAGGGTTGTCGTGTTTAACACCTCCACGAAGCCATCTTTGCGCTTCACTTTATTCCACTCGTCGCAGCCCTCCGTCAGACACAACCGCACGGCGCCGATGCTCTTAGAGTAGGGAGACGTCTGGCGCCTCCACTTTTGCGCGGGCAGATCGCGGCGGTTACGGCCAAACTCCAGGTCGTTGTTGAACGTCACGGGCCTCATAACGATGGGCCGGTTGTCCGTACCGTCGGCCCTCATGTCGCCCAACACTAACAGCCCCACCGACG